CTGTGTGTCAGAGTACCAACCTGATAGGTTCAGGTGTCTGTTGGTTAGCCAGAACTGATAGGTTCAGGGTCTGTGCTTTAAGTTAAGGGTTCTGTGTGAACCAAACTGTATGCTTGTATGAGGGAGAATAAGCCACGTTACTTTATCCTATTCACCTGATTGTTTATTTTTTCCTGTGTGTATTTAAATAAACCTTATTCTTTATTTGTTTAAAAATCCATCCCTGGTCTGTGTGACTTCTTATAGGGAATGGTTGGTGGCAGCTTAGTGTAACGTGTGGCAGATCCCAGTAGGTCTGGGTTTGTCACAGTGGTATTCTGACACTCTGGATCGTACTTTGTCTTTAATTCTTCTTCTCAACCATATTTTATGTCTTTCTTGAAGCAGAGTATGCCTGCCCTGAGACGGCAGAGCCAACATCAGCAGCATACAACCCAGCCCGCAACTACTGTAACAGCTCTTTCCTCTGTCCTTTAAAAATAGTCATACATATATGGTTTAAATCATGTTTTTTTAATATTGAATGTTTTATATATATAAGTTTTGAAGTGGCATAGCACTAGATCAATGCAGCGCTAAACTAGAAACAGATAGGGAGGAAAAGGAAGAATTTGGACTGCAGGGCACCACAAACTGCAAACCGTGCAGACTCCCATAGACACTGTTTACTCTGGCATAGGTAATCACATATGCCAAAACACGTCAAAAAAGTGTGACCAGAATCAATTTAAAATAAACAACCTCCAAGTGGGTGTTTAAAAAATCCCACTTCCCAACAAAAAAAAGTGCACCTAGCTGTATATCAAGTACTTGGTAGATTTTTAATTTGCTTTCAAATGTGTCAAACTTGGTGCAAAAACAGGAGTTTTACAAAGTGCAGTCAAGCCCTAAAATGTTTATAACAGAAGTGTAGAATTGTTGGCACTTGAGACTTCTAGGACTTCCAGTTCCCAAAGGTCAGCATGGCTAGTGGTAAGGCACATAGGGACTGCAGTCCTAAACATCTGGAATGACAGTGGTCCTCAAGTCTTAGTTTGAAACAATTCAATGGCAGCCTGTGCAGTACTGTGCCCTCTAATATGAAGCTGCCATCTCTTAAAAGGAGGAAGGCCGGACTGGCATAGATGAAGTACAGGTAAAGCCACGTTATCTACAAGCTTGTGATTTTGCAGGAACTGGTGACATTTTCTGCATGCTGTGGAGTCTTCTAGAGGCCTAGCGCTTTCCCCTTTTGATAAAGCATACAGACCTCATCCCTCTCTTTTCTTAGATGTAACCCAGCACTGCCAACCAAGTACCGCCATATAGGCAACTGCCAAAATACTTATTTTAAAATCTCTGATTCATTAAGCATTTTTAAAATTCAACATATCAACTAAATATTGGGGTGTGTGCTGGTTTTGGCTCACAAGCTTTAACATATGGTTTTATCATGGCCTCCATTCATAACTATCAACTAAGCATATCTCTTAATTCCCTTCTCTTTCCCACCCACATATATATTTGTAAAATGAAGACTAGATGAAGTTAATTTCCACCTAACTATGCAATGCCATTTGTGTCTTACTTATTTCTGTAAAGTAAGCAGAATTCTGTGTGACTCAAACATTTCCTTCTAGCACTTACAACGTGAGTTGATCGACAAGAAAGGCTTGCCTTCTTGTTCTATGAGACCAGCAACAGCTCCCCGTCCCTGCTGAGAAAAACAAACATTTTCACAAAGCTCTCAGGTATCATTTGGGCTCTGCTTGTCCATACTTGCCTTTCTCCTCCTGGTTTAGCAGAGCTGGACTGGAGCTGGCTGTGGTGGAGGCTCTGGTGTTTGTGGGCAGCCAGTGTCCTGTGAGAAGGTGAGAGCCTAGAGACTGCCCTTTGCTCCACTCTCTCTCTCTGGGCAGGTGGCTTTGCCGGTGCAAGGACATCTGCTGGAATGTGCCGAAGGTCCGGGCACAATCTGGGCAGCGGTGGGTCCCTCCTGGGTCTTCTCTCGCAAGCTTGGACCCTGCTGTGTAGGGGCGTTCTCTCCATTGCTGGCCACTTTCTACAGCCCGAGCTGTAGCCTGCAGGCGCTCAGCACAGCTGGCATCGCTATATCCCAGAAAACTGCCCGTCCCAGCCTTGTCTGTGGGCCGAGGGGAGAGGAGGGAAGGATACAGGGCTTCACAGCCCACCAGCAAGCTTTGTGCTGACCGGCCAGGGCCGGTCCCTCTTTGTTCAGTCTGAAGGCCCAGCTTGCTGAGATGAACCTTCATGTGGTTCTTGAGAAACCATGGCTCTTTGAAGCCGCGGCCACACACCTGGCACTTGTGATCAAAAGAGTCTTTATGCTTCCGCATGTGGCCCTTGAGGAACCAGGACTGAGTGAAGGCTTGGCCGCAAACCTGGCAGCGGAACTCATTCGGAGTGGAGACCGCGGGGGCCGTGGGGGCCGAGGCCGGAGGGGTGGGCGGGGCTGCCTTGGGGGCAGAGGCAGGGGCAAGAGGGGTGGGCACCCTGGCGGCGGGAAGACTGTGTGCCTGTTGGTTGTGCCACTGCAGTTCTGCCTCCTGGGCGGCAGCAAAAGAGCACTGCCCACATTTGTAGGGCTGGTGGAGGATGCGGAGGTGGCGCTCCCGCTCTCCTGCGGTGCGGAACTTGCCCTTGCAGAATGGGCAGCGGAAGATGGGCTGAGGTGGGGGTGGGACAGGAGCAACTGGCTCTTCCTCCTCCTCCTCCTCCTCTTCCTCCTCCTCCTCTTCCTCCTCCTCTTGCCCTCGCAAAAGCGCCCGCTCTTCCAGCTCAAGCAGTAGACGGCTCTGGTGGCTGAGGCGGGCACGAGCCTCAGGACAGTGTGAGCGCAGGTGGAGTCGCAAGCTGGCACGCTGCCCTGCCCGGTGGCCACAATAAGGGCAAGTGAGAGGGTAGGAGCTGGTATGGATGCGTGTATGCAAGGCCAAGATGCTATTAAAGCGGAAGCGTTTGCCACAGATAGGGCAAGGATACGGTCGAGCTTCACTCCCTGACCCTCCTGGCCCGTTGGAATAGCGTTGCAGGTCCAGTTCCCCATTGAAAGCCAGGCTTTCGGTGCCATCGCAGGAAGAAGAGGAGGATGGAGAAGGGAGGGCCACACTGGCTGAGTTGGCAGAAGGCAGCTGGTAATCTGCATCCTGCAGGAATAACAAGGAGAAAAAAGACATCTGGGGCCTTAGCACAGAGTATGATTTTCTCAGAGGTTGGAAATGTTACTTTTTGGACCATAAGTCCTTGTGGTCATGCTGGAGGATTATGAGGACTGTAATCCACAAAATAATTTTTCAAAGTTCTGATTTTTCTTTACATCCCCTCTGAGACTATTCCTACTCTTTTCCTATGACTTTATAGACTGCCATCTATGGAAAATGAGAATAAAGCAAGCTTTTCTGCCCCACTGAATTTCTACAGAACAATCAGCAAACCAGTGGCTGACTCACAACCTGGGGGGGAAAATATCACCCTCCCCTGTTTTTCCAAAGCAGAACTCTTAAGTATAAGATAGAACAGAGCTTTCCTTCCCACATGATAGCAATGGACCAAACCAGCTTCTCTTTCACATTGCGGTTTGCAAGCTAGCAACTACTACGACTGCCAAATAACATTGCTTCCTTTGACTGGGGAGGGCCGAACTCCGCTTGATGTGCAGGAGAAACGGTGAACATCTCCACTCCCCAGAAACAGGCATACAACCCCACTCTTTTGCTACAGAACAATTTGGAAAACCTGTGGCTGAAAAGCAGTACTTTGGAATATCCTTTTAAGCACAGAAAACACACAAAGTTTCTGGACATCATCCTGAGTGGAAGGGCAGAGGAACTCAGTGTGGACTCAGAAGTGGGAAGGATTATCCGACCCATAGCTGGAACTAAAGACAGATAAAGTTCTCCTGGGCTAGGCTCAGAAAAGAAGCTTGAGGGCTTGTAAAGGTCTGCCTCAGAGGAGAGCTATGCCATGCATGTCCAAGAATTACCCCCCTCCTTACATGAAATAAAATGCAAGCAGAGGACTGCCAGCTTCCCTCTGTTTTTGCCTGGTTGAATGAAATGGAACAACATGGCCCCACCACATTTAAAAAGACCTTCTACAGGACTTCGGTCTCCCTAACGTTGGTTTTTGTAGTTGTTTTGGAGCACTTAAAACCAAGAATTAATTCTCTTCCTCTCATCCCAGCTGCACTAGATTGCCCTTCACCCTCCCTCAGCCAAACTGTCCTGTGGGAAGAAAGAGAGAAAGGCAGGCAGCAACATTCCCGCTAAGCTGCACACCTTCTCAGTACTCCATTTGTTCTGCGCAGCCAAGCCAGTGTTGCTGCCCATTTGCTTCTGGTTGAGGCTCAAACCACTGAATTAATTCTCTTCCTCTCATCCCAGCTGCACTAGATTGCCCTTCACCCTCCCTCAGCCAAACTGTCCTGTGGGAAGAAAGAGAGAAAGGCAGGCAGCAACATTCCCGCTAAGCTGCACACCTTCTCAGTACTCCATTTGTTCTGCGCAGCCAAGCCAGTGTTGCTGCCCATTTGCTTCTGGTTGAGGCTCAAACCACTCAGCGCTAGGCCAAGCCAGTGTTGCTGCCCATTTGCTTCCGGTTGAGGCTCAAACCACCCAGCGCTAGTGGAAATTAGAGGGAACGTTGGCTGGCAGCTGAAGAAGACATCAGAGCCTTTTCCTCCTCAGACTGGACTGTGTCCTCCCTCCAAAAATGGGGCCAAATAACACCAGCTACCCATGAGAAAGATTCTGGCAACTTACCTTTTGATACTATTTGCTTTTTTATATTATTAACATAATTTGGTCCCTATCCGTAGGAAACAGCCTTGGAAAGATATGTATTCTTGAAAGATGATAGTTAATTAAAATAACTATCTCTCAATACATTTTCCAAAACCCCACTGAAGGTAATAGAGCCAAGACTCTCCATTATAGTTGCAGAGGAAGAAATAAAAGCCTGAGAGATTTTTGTAAGCCTAAAACGAACTTTGAAAACTAGATACAGTGGTGCCTTGCTTAACGACAATAATCCGTTCCAGGAAAATCGCCATTAAGCGAAAACATCGTAAAGTGAAATTAAAAAAACCCATTGAAACGCATTGAAACCCGTTCAATGCGTTCCAATGGGGTAACAACTCACCGTCCAGTGAAGATCCTCCATACGGCGGCCATTTTCGCTGCCTGTATAGCGAGAAATCCATCCCTAAACACAGCGGGGAGCCATTTTAATTACCTGTCAGCCATTTTGAAACCGCCAATCAGCTGTTAGAAAAACATAGTTTTGCAAAGAATCGGTTCCCGAAGCAGGGAACCGATCATCGCAAAGCGAAATTCCTCCATTTAGACCATCGTTTTGCGACTGCAATTGCAATTGCAAAAGATCGTCGTAAAGCGGATTCGTCGTAATGCAGGGCAATCGTAAAGTGAGGCACCACTGTATTCCCATTTTGAGCCAGGTGAGGGAGCTGATATATTTTATCCAGGTAGAGCCTGAGAGAATCTTTAATTGTGATGGGGTGAGGAGGGATTGATAAGTGCGAAGGAAGAGGGGACAAGTTAACCCCTCAGCTATCATTCTCGCGCCTCGCACCCCCCCATTCAAGCCATACTGTCTTCTAACAGTTACTCACCTCCATGGTGGTCCCGATCACATGCTTCAGTTGTTGGTTGGTCAATGGGCATCCATGTCACACCTGACAGGTAGTTAGGCAGTTGCATGGGCTATAGGAAAGCAAAAGGAGAATTTCCAAAAGAAAAAAATGAAGCTATGATCATGATTCATATCACCTGACAAACCCACACATTTTCACTTTAAAAAGAACTTCACGGGACATAATTTGTGCCACTTCCTAGGCTCTGTGTTGGCACTCAGGACTGTATGAAGAATGTTACTAAAGTGCCCTGAACACAGGCAATGGGCTTCCAATAATGCAGAGAAAAATAAAGCATGGAAAAGTTATTGAGTTCTTCAGTCAGCCTGACCAGTGGTCGTGCTGGCCAGATTATTTTGGGAATTATAATCCCTCAAAGTAACATTTCCAAGCTCTGTTGCCCCGGTTTTGATCTGTTTCCAGATGAATTTGACTTCTGGTATATATTCTCCCCCCTTCAAAAACACCTAAAACACTATGTCCTGGTTTCCCAAATCAGGAGAAGGAGCTGATTGAAACCTTGACCTAGCAGAATACTGTACTGTACTGGGATCCTTATTCCACCTCCACAGAATAGATGGCCTATAGTACTTGACCAGAGTTTTTACCCACAGATTGACATTCTTGGGATTGCTAAAGCAAAACTGGTCTGGCAATGAGATAACTCAAGGAAGGAAGCCAAGGCAAATCAAACATTACCAGGTTACAAATCTGGAGATGTTCATCTGCTGATCTGATGGTGGCCTCTGAATCAAAGAAGAGGATGCAGCCCTGACTTCTCTGAACCTGCTACTACTTGCCTTATTATCTTTCCATTTCTTAGAATCATAAAGTTGGAAGGGGCTTATAAAGCTGTTGAGTTGCAACCCCTGCTCAGTGCTGAATCAACGTCAAAGCAGATCTTACAGATGGTTGTCCAATTTTCTCTAGCACTGGAGCACTCTCCACCTCCCAAGATAATATGTTCCATTCTTCCTGGAGCACTCTCCACCTCCCAAGATAATACGTTCCATTCTTTTACTGCTCTAATGGTTAAGAGGTTTTTCCTAATATTAGCCTAACTCTGATACTGCTCTAATGGTTAAGAAGTTTTTCCTAATATTTAGCCTAACTCTGGCTTCCTGTAGTGAGCCCATTCCCACCTTTTGTAGCAAAACATGAGTACAGTATATACAGCCTGGTGAGGAAGGATCTCACCTCAACACTGTGGGATGATCCCCCTCCCTACTGTGCCTCTGTGTACATGTCTGTGCAACAAGAAAAGATCTCTGTCCTAACCCTTCTGTTTTCCCCACAACCATTAACTGACCTAGCCTGATACCAAGGAATGTTCACAAACATTCTAGCTTTTCAGGATGAGAGTGTCAGCAACAGGATGTTGGCAAACAGGGTAGCTTCTGTGGGGAAGATAAAGGTTTGATTCCTAGGAGGGGAAAAATCAGGAGGGGCTGCTAACTGTTGGTATGATGGGAGATACATGGGGTTATGCCAGCTGAAGGAAGGGACATACAGTGCACAGAGAAACATGGATCTAGTACAGCCCTCAAAGAAAGGCTCAGGAACAAATGGTCTTCCAGATGTTGCTGAAATCCAGATCTTTTTGGCCCTGGGTAGTGTTGAAATATAATGAGGATATTAGTTTGACAGTATCTGGAGCATCAAAGCTTTCCCAGGCCTGCCTTACTAGTAAAACAGTGAAATGTAATGGCTGAGGCAAGGAACCTGACATAATGCTGGTGTTGTTCACTTGCATTTTTTTTCTGAGAGAACTTCCATATTTTTAACACCTTGATTTGTCCTTGACTTGTATTCTATTGGAAAGCTACATAAAGTTGTATATGTGCCTCTTGCTGATGTTTTGAAAGCCTGGCAGACTACCCTACCCAAGATCTGAAACTATCTGGTGATGTGAAGAACAAATTCCAGAGAGGTGTATCCTAAGGCACATAAACGTGCTGCGCCCCCAATACTATAAGCAGGTGTGGCTTGATCCCCATACTGAGCCAAACCTCACCTCTACCCTGCCTGAGGCAAGACTGTCATTTTCTGCATTACAAATCTATTCAGGCAGAACCCGGCCATAAATTCTAGCAAGTAGTTTTTGATTCCTTCAAACATCTCCTCTTCCAGATGTAAACCAAACTGCCTTTTCCCACCCACCCATCCAAAGACACATTTCCATGTTCCGCTCCTCAAAACATACACAGACAGTACTTAAAATGTAGGGTCCCCTTATCAGGAGAAATGCAGTTATAACAACAAAAATAAAATAAAACAAACAATAAATTTTAAAATGTGGTTTTTCTCCAATGGGCAACGACAGCTCCTGTTAGGAAGGCCGGGGTGGGTGGGGAGGTTCCTAAGGCAAAATGCTCTTTGTCTATATGGGTCAACTCTCTCCTCTGCCGCTGCCGCTTGACTTCTGCTATCTCTACGTCTCATCAGTACAGCCACTGAGAAGAAGAGGGGGGAAAGCAAGCAAAAGGCTCTACCCCACCCACATCTGTGCTAACTTGTGAACAGGGAGCATCTGCAAGCAGTTCAAAATCACGGCTGTGTTAGTCTGTGCAAGGAAGAGGGCCTTGTGGGCCTTGGCACCTACTCAGCAATGCCAACCACGGACACTAACTCTTCCTATGGGCTTCCTCCCTCAGCTTTATGTGTGGCCTGAGCTTTATCTCTCCATGGCATACAGAGGCATGAGGGTGTATGTGCAGCAAGGGGGGGGGCTATGTATGCATACTGGTTTAGGATATCCAGGCGGAAAAAGGGCGGGGCTTCTGTTTCTTTAACCCCTGTGTGGAAAAGGGAATTTCAATAGATATAAGCACATGTTACATTTCCCTTATCTTCACAGCCCTTAAAGGTACAGGTTCCCTATCAGCTTTTACACCTAAGCCATGGTTTGTTTGCGAGTCTTTCAAAGCAGCCACTGTGACAAAGCAAAAGGTCCTCTTCTCCTCATTTCTTAGTCACAGTTAACTCCTTGGCCCACGTACAGATCCCCACCTAAATAATACTGATGGAAAGAGAAGGCACTAGTACCCAGAACAGCCAGCATTGGCAATGTTAATTTTGTTATGTGAGGCCAAGTCGCCCCCAATGTATGGTGACCCCATCAATGAGCAATCTCCAAAATGTCCTATCCTCTACAGACCTGCTCAGCTCCTGCAGACTCAAGCTTGTGATTCTTTTAGGGAGTCAGTCCATCTCATATTTGGTGCTCCTCTTTTCCTGCTGAAAAAGGCAATGCTTTTCTAAATACAACACAAGCACTACTAAAAAAAAAGTTGGCTGAGGCCTTTGGCCAAATCTAGCAGTGACAACTTCTTATTTTAGCAGATTGCTGGCTACCTTTTTTATCCTTTTCCCCTTTCACTCCAAGGCCACACACGTGGCTATCCTTCCCTGCATTTTGTGCCCACAACAACTCCATGAGATCATTCAAACTGAAAGAGACTGACTGGTCTAAAGCCACCCAGTGAGCTTTATGTCAGAACTTGAACATGAATTTCCTTGGTCCTAGTCTAGCATTCAAATCGCTGTACCACACCAGTTCTCTTCTTACATTCTTATGACTGGCAAAATTCTTTTTTTTTTTAAAGGCAGGCTCTGGTTCCCAGATGTTTGAAATATTTTACCTAGCTTGCACATATGGAAGCATTCAGACAGCTATTTCAATTTACAGAAAGAAATAAGCTGAGCTACTGGCTTTTCTTTCCATTTTTCCCCTCACAGATCCAGCTGTAGAACCCTAAAGAGGGGGTTCAAGCTTGATATTTAAAGTGCATTTGCACCACAAATGTAAAATGGTGTAACAGTCATTTAAATTTTTGTCATTATCATTTTATCACACCCTTTCCTAGCAAATGGAACAATTCCAGTGGAATATCTATGAGTCTCTCCTCCCTTCTAAATCACAGGAGATCTGTCAGGCACAGAAATGTAAACTAACCCAGGGTCACTCAGTTAAGTCTTACAATTCCATCCAACATTTGAATGCAGGTTTCCAGAATTCTAATGTAACATCATAGCCCAGTGATGGTGAACCTTTTTGAGCCCGAGTGCCCAAACTGTAACACAGAATCAACTTATTTATTTCAAAGTGCCAACACTGCAATTAAAGCCCGAATATGAGGTTTTAGTTTAGAAAAAAAAACAACTGCTCCTGCACTGTAAGGGTTAAATGCTTGTTGTTGTTGTTGTTGCTTTCCTATGGGTGGTGTTAACAAAGAAATATTTACCAGTCCTGGGCTAGACTGGTAATGGCCACCATCACACCCCTCTGCCAGACCACTGCACCAGCAGAGGGGAGTGCCAAAATCCAGGATCAGAGGATGGGGAAGCATTTCTTGATGGTGACTTATGGCTCGTGTGCCCACAGAGAGGGCTCTGTGTGTCAGCTGTGGCATGCGTGCCATAGGTTGACCACTGCTGCTCTAGCCCATACCCCACAGGGACTGCCTCACTCCATCTTGCTTAGGAATTGTAGTTTCCTGATGAAGTGAAACAGGATTTTGAACAAATAATTCCTCAACTACACAGCTGACTGGTGGCTGATGAAAACGAGAATCCAACAGCATTTGTATGACTACATGTTCTCCATTAGTACATTACATTACCATTTGAGCCTAATCCAAATGACTACATGTTCTCCATTAGTACATTACCATTTGAGCCTAATCCGGTATTAGGGCCAGGTCTGTGAGCATTTGGAGCTGCCATAAAGGGTTCAAATTGTCAAATAGAAGAGCTATGCTGAAAACTGAGAAGTTTCTCTATGTCAGACATAAAAAACATATAACCCTCCAGACTTTTGTTGTATTGAAACTCCTATCACCTCTCATTGCTGGCTTTGCTGGCTAAAGGCTGCTGGGAATTATAGTCCAATAGCATCCAAGTGACCCATCCGTGCTCTGGTGACTTGCTTGCAAGCCAAATTTTTTTAAATCTTGCATTTTATCAGCAACCTGGCATCTGAAAGTTGAATAGCTTTAATATCTTGTTAGAAAATATTTGTGGGAGCTAGCAAAGGAAATAAAAGAGGAAACAAGGCGATACAAAGTCTGC